TTACACGTTATCCATTATTAATTGAAAAAATTCTTAAACATACAATACTAAATCATCCTGGTTATCGATATATACAACAAGCATATGGGTGTACACGTCAATTAAATGAACAAATAAATAAACAAATATGTGAACAAGAAAATAGTTTACGTTTAGATTGGTTACAACAACATGTTATCTTAAATACAGATGAAAATTCTACAGATAGATATGTATTTGATGAATTAATAAAATTTAATTCAATATCTAGATTTCATAAACAACGACAATTACTTTTACATGGTTTTCTAATGAAGGTTAGAAAGAGAACAATTAAAATCTATTATCTATTTTAAATGTTATGGGTCTTTGTTGTATCACAAATAATTCAAGCATAAAGTTATTAGTAGTCAATTAACAATGACCATTTTCGAAGTGATGCCATAGGAAATTTTTTTATTACACGTTGACATTTAAGATAGTCATTTGATAGCAAAAATCAAGGCTTCTCTGAATGGTTCTGCTGCTAAGTTATAAGCATTCTGTAAAGGTCTTCGAAATCGGTCAATTGATCACTAGTACTTTGGAAATAAATTAGTATTGAAGATTTTAGCCATGTTTATTTTCTTTTTCAAAGCAATATGAAAAAAAGTTGGACTAAAATTTCAAAAGCATCAGTTTTAATTATGTATTACGCGAAAATAATATATAGTGTCACTTAAAAAAAGAAAATAAACACCACTCCTTGTTTCAATATGGTCAAAATATTCGATATCAACTCATTTCAAATTGACAAATAGTTCATTGATCGATTTCGAAGTTCTCATAGAAGAATGTTTATAACTTAGCAATGGAATCACGTAGAGAGGCGTTGACTTTTCCTATCAAATTATGATCTTAAAAGTTAATATGTAATAAGAAACTTTCGAATAGTATTGCTTCCAAAATAGTTCCTGAAAACTAACCATACAATAGAGTCCATTAACTTTGTGAATAGATAAGAGTCTAATTTTTGAGGTCTTGATTCTTCTTGTTTAGGTACCAAGTGGAAAAAAATTATTAGCATTTTTATTTAATGATTTTCTTTTATTTTCAACTATAAAAATTATTTGAGTTGAAATCAAATCTACAATTAAAACTTTATCGATTAGTAAATTCATTGATTAAAATTTTTATTTTAGTCAATTTGTTCTTTATTTTTTAGCTATTATTATTAGCTGATATTATTGTTGCTAATGAAATACCTAATGATCAATTAAGTTTTTCTATTATAATGAAAATGAATGAAAAACCATTGATTTTAAAATCTCAACACACTAATATTCAGTATGATAGCAAAAGCAAAGCATAAAACATTTGAATTACGAGATCATTCATTTTATGCTTTCTCTTTTTTTGTAGTACATTATGGGTACGAGCGATTAATAATGCTCTAGAAGAATATCAAGTAACAGAAAAATTAATTTTAACCGATAAATCATTGCTTACTGTCACAAGTAACGCTTGTTTTATAATTTATAAATGATTCAAATGTACATTTTAACTATCATTTTCTATTAATTTTAAAGATCATGAACATAATTCACAAGCTGCTGTTGCACATCTTGTTCTCGTTGTATTAGAAGCTCATGATTTAATATCACCAACGACAACAGTTGAACGACACCGTAAGTATTGTTTCTAGTCATGAAAAAAAATTAGTACTTAATTGCTATATTTTTGAATATTTTCTTTTTTGCCTTTAGGTTCTTTAAATCCCTATTGTGAAATAACTGTCGGTTCATTAACATTAAAAACTCCATTTATGAAAAGAACAAATAATCCAAAATGGAATACATCTATACAATTCTCTCTATATGATGTTGCTAAAGATATTATACATATTAATATATTTGATAATGAATTTTTTTCACTGAATGGTTTGTTCGAAACATTTTTCTTTCTTGTTCATCAAGAGAAAAATCTGTTTCTTCTTCTTTCTTTTAGAAAATATTGGTTATACATCAATACATCTCATAGATATCTTGCCATGTTCACTTGACATATTTCTTACTCAACCATTACAACCATTTACACAAACAATTTATCTAAACAATGGAGCATCGGTAATCATGAAATGTACTATACAATTTTTATTATAATATACACAGAAATCGTCCGTGTCATTTTTACATTGTCAGTTTTTTTTTATTTCTATTTTTTTTCGTATTTCTTACAGGGCTCGAAACGGGCCACCCGGCCCGGTGACCCGACCCGGCTCGGCCCGGCCCAGACCCGGCCCAGCCCGGCCCGAGAAGGTCTTTATTCTGGGTCGGGCGGGCCTCCTCAACGAAGACCGGTGGGCCGGGCGGGCTTCAAATTCTTCCGGGCCGCCCGGCCCGAACTTTATTTCTGTTTTGCAAGGGAAATTTCTCACACAAGACAAAAAAAAATGATTCTAGTCGACTTCTTCCTAGCTAAAGATCGATTAAGGTGGAGTTGTCATCATTTAATCAAAATTAGAGTAACTAGTTAATTTTCACTTGATTTAAATGGTGGTGGTCGTAAAACAGGTTTTTCTCGGGTTTTAAGTTAGGAACTCGAACCTCTGTTTTTTTCGAACTGCCTAGCTTAGCAGATCGTGATTATCACACTAGCCTAGACTTTAACACGTATAGCAGGCGTTAAGATAGACATCAATTAATACTGACTTGTGTAAGAAAAAATATCGATAAATTAGATTAGAATTAATTTTTTTATGAACAAGTGTAAATTAAAATGACACCATTTGGATCCAGTCAGAATCTGATTTGTCAGGTTCAAGAATAGATATCATTTGATTTTAATCATTCTTGATCAGTTTCTAAAAACGAATTTCAATCAATAGGACTTTATTATTCGACTAAAAATCGATTTAAAATAGTAAAATCAAATGAAATCTATTTTTCATGTTGAAAAATTCATTTTCAGTAAGAATTAAGTGGCATCGTTTTAATCGATTTTTAACAAAACAAAAAAATAATCGGTTTATTTAAGTTTTTCATTGACATTTTTTTTACATGGGTTGTACATCTCAGGATTGTTAACGATCAAGAAGCTTCACCATGCGAACTCTTTGGAAATTTCATTTAGGCAATAAATGAAAACAAAGTATTTATTCAGTATGATAACACCTCATTCACAGAGAAAATGGAGTGAACTATTAACTGTATTAAGCCACATAAACAGTATTTAAGTGGAACAGTTTTAGCTGTATACTAAAATTAGTAGAGAAAGTAGAAATATCAACCCATGTGACTCATTGAATTTGACCAGTTGGTGTTTCACTTCTGTGAGGTTCGTGCTAATAAATAGCAGTATTCCAGAAGTTGAAGTGTCGATGGATTCATCTTACTCTATTGATTCAGTAAGTGATTCGACTTATCTACCAGCCTTTTTTGAAGACTTAGAATTGTCTAACCTTATTCAAGTCGTGATCATCATGATCATAAGTAACGTTCTTATAATGATTTGAAAAACTACAACAGTGTAGGGATGATCAACTTTGCATTTATAAAAACTTAATAAGTCCAAAAATTAATTTTTAAAAATCTAAATCTAAAATAAATTTAAGTTTTCAGGTACGAGAGTTTAAATTTATTTTAAATGTAAATTTGTAAATTTACATTTAAAATTAGTTTAAGTTCTGACATTCAAAAAGTTAAATTTATTTTAAATTTCACTTATTGAAATTCATATAAATAAATCAAATTTAAAATTTATTTAACTCTTCAAGGTTCAAATCTATACTTCATTTAAAATTCAACAAGTTTAAAATTAAAATAAATCAACGAGAAATAACCATCTCTAAATCCAGTGATATTGGGTTCCGTCACGTGAAAACCTTCTTTATAAAAGAACTATAATGATAATAGTGCCATTGTTATTCGGGCCGGGCCGGGCGGGCACGGTTAATTGGCCGGGCGGGCCGGGCTGGGCTCTAATATAGAAGAGGTTGGGCCGGGCGGGCATGAACTATCCTTGGCCCGGTATGGGCCGGGCTGGGCCATCAAAAATTGGCCCGTTTCGAGCCCTGATTTATTACTCATTTGTGCAATTGAATTTTTCTATTTGTACGTATATGTGTTTGTTGTCATTATGCATTCTTTAAATTGTGATTTATTTCTAATTAATCCCAAACATGCAGTCTTACCATATTT